TAAAAACCTTGCGAATTACGGAAAAATCGGACATGAAAATGGGTCTAAATTGTGACCCCCTTTTAAAAAAAATCTTTGAATGTAGCTCATTAGGGAATTTCACCACAAGCTCATGAAGGTATCCCACATCAAAATCGGAATCCAATAACTCAAGTTATGGAATTTAGAAGTGCAGTTTTGGGTTCCCGTTCTGGAAACCATAGGATCTACGGAAAAATCGGACATGAAAATGGGTCAAAATTGTGACCCCCTTTTAAAAGAAATCTTTGAATGTAGATCATTAGGGAATTTCACCACAAACTCATAGAGGTATACCACACCAAAATCGGAATCCGATAACTCAAGTTATGGAATTTAGAAGTGCAGTTTTGGTTTCCCGTTCTGGAAGCCATAGGATTTACGGAAAAATCGGACATGAAAATGGGTCAAAATTGTGACCCCCTTTTAAAAGAAATCTTTGAATGTAGATCATTAGGGAACTCCACCACAAACTCATAGAGGTATCCCACATCAAAATCGGAGTCCAACAACTCAAGTTATGGAATCTAGAAGTGCAGTTTTGGGGTCCCATTCTAAAAACCTTGCGAATTACGGAAAAATCGGACATGAAAATGGGTCAAAATTGTGACCCCTTTTTAAAAGAAATCTTTGAATGTAGATCATTAGGGAATTTCACCACAAACTCATAGAGGTATACCACATCAAAATCGGAGTCCAATTACCCAAGTTATGGAATCTAGAAGTGCAGTTTTGGGTTCCCATTATGAAAACCGTTGGTATTATGGAAAAATCGGAAATGAAAATGGGTTTAACATTTTGTAATTGAATTTAGAACATTAGGGAATTCCACCAAAAACTCATAGAGGCTTCCCACGTCTAAATCGGGATCCAAAAAAGCAAGTTAAATCTAGAAAAAAAGGTATTGTTCAAAAAATATACAATAATCCCTTAGTGGTAGTTACTGGCACTTGTTACCGCTGCCATGGCCGTGATTATTACCATTATTGGTTGTTATTAACCTGACTGGTTGCCACAGTTGCTGGGTGCAATTAAATTATATTTGGTCACAATTGCTACATTGTTTGGCCCGTTTCGCTCTCTGAATTTTCCTGGCAGCCCGTGCGTAAAGTAATTTATGTTTTTCCACGCCCACTCACACACAACGCCCAACTAAAAAGAAGACATTTGAATGCCGCACATTTGTTAAGCTCGGTTTTTTATGGGCCCAACCCCTGGCAATTTTTGCCTTTTGAGATGTCGAATCTGGAATATCTGCCGCAATGTAAACGAGTTCTTTCTCTGCTTTATTTTTTTTGCCGGTTTGCTGGCTTTTCTTTCGTTCCTTTATTTTTTGCAGATATTTAAAGCCACATATCATGTTGAGCCAGGAGTGAAAATAAATTTTATGCCAGAGCATGCGTTGCCGTTTGTTGTTGAGCAGCTGCTTTGTCATTTTCACGTACCATCGTGCACCCTAAAATCCCCATTTCCACCTCCAAAACATCACGAATTTCTGTTTCCACCACTTTTTGCAACACATTCATCTGCCAGTTGCCTGTGAAAAACTTGGCTTTTGCTAAAAAAAATGACATAAAGCGACATAATAATTTTGCCTTTGAAATTGCCTTACAATTGCTTTTTTTTTTGTGTGTGCGCGAATTCCGTTCCCTTTGGGGTTTCTGCGTTTTTGTCCCAAGCTTATTTTTAGCCTTGTGGCTTTGTGATACTTTTCGCGGAAACATTAATATTTAAAACACCCTAAATTTATATTCTTCACCAAGATATTTTTGTTCAAAGAAACCTTATTAGAGACTTATTTATCATTTTTCCTTGAAGGATTACAAGACTTAAAACTTTTGCTAGAGTATCTCAAATTCTTCTTGGCGATTGTTAAGATTTGTTTTTCAATTTTTGCGCCTTCTATTTGGATTTCGCAACTTTTTTCGTGCAACTTTCTACCGCAGAATTGTTTGCACAGGTGAGTGGGCACAAGAAATGCTTTTAAATTATGCATGGTAACCAAATCAGCTTATAAAATGTGCCTTAAATTGACTCGAATGTGAAACAGTCAGCTAGACCCTCGTCTCAGTTCATTTTGAAGCACAAAAACGATAATTACTGCAAGTTGATGAAGAGGCCGCTGTTGTGACAGCTCTTCGAAATATTCGGGAAGTCACATTAGTGCAATCCACATTTAATTTAGTTTTTCCCCCGCGAGCAGCGAAAACTTTTTCGAACAAGGGTCGCTGTCGGCACACACACAAGCATACCATCCACTTAAAACACCCTACTCATTGGCCCACATGCCGTATGCGCAATCATTAATAAAAACTAAATAGATTGAAGCAACAGCGACGAGGAAATTGCTTGTGGCCTTCCTTTATGGCACACACTAGTACACTGGAAAAACCAGTAGGTAGTCCAAAAATAAAGATTTATAAAGTTTGTTTCATCTATCTATTTGTTATATTTTCTTATAGATCCTAAGACTAGATGTAAAACTTTTAGAAATATTCATACAAAATCAAAACGTATTTATGATGCCTTAGCCTTAGCCTTAGTTTAACTAGAAAATATTCAAATATTTATTTAATACATTTTAAACAAAATCAAAAGTTTTCTTTTAATATGAAATATTTAACAACATTTTTCTAATCGTAGAAAATAAAATACCCAGATTAAGTATTGTGCTTATGCCGAACCTTGTTTAAGAAAACACTTAACAACCCTCAAATGTAATAATAATTCCACTTTAGGAGGTTTCTTTGTTGTTTTTTCAAGGGAAGGGATAACTTATATCGGCAGTATAATGACTTCCTTCCGCTGCCCGCTGCTTGGCCAGCGACTAATTAATCTTAATTAAAGTCTAAGTTGGCTGCGTATTTATGCCCCTTTTCCAGCACATACACATATGTTCCCAAGGTGGTGGACAGCTGTTGCCGTTGTGGCACCGCTTCCATTTCATTTAATTTCAATACATTTGTCTGTCGCCTAATGGAAAATTTACGTGCACCATATAAATCAACTTTTGTGTGGGTTGATTTATTTTTAGCGTTTTCGAAAACAAAACACTAACCTAATAAAATGAACCACACATATCTACAACGAGATAACAGAAATGGTTTACAAATTATTTTCGGAGTCCGCTAATTATGGCACCAGTAAGCAGGATAACATGCTAAAGCTAAACCGGACTAGAAGGAGAGGGGTATATTGTTTAGAAAGAGACAGGGAGAGAAAGAAAACCCATGCATGAATGCGCTGATTACGCCCACGAACGCAGTGGCTTACACATCGCAATCATTGCTGTTTTGGCCATTGTTTTTGCTGGATGCGAATTGTTTGCCAACTGTAGTTCCAGTTGCTATGACTGCTGGCCATTTAAGGCCATATCCTGGCACTGGTTCGGGCCCCGCATTGCCTTTATGGCATTTAAAGCCACTCAGCACAGCACATAATGCCGTTCATTGTTCCCGAGAGTACTTAACTACACTATCCTGCGTGTTACCAGCCACAATAATGTTCTGAATTTAATCAGTTTTATTCGTATGACGATGGTGAACATGTTGACAATTGTCGAGTATTTCCTTTTGGGCGGGTCTTATCAGATATATATTGGAATGCTGAATGATAAATGGATAAAAATCTCTTTAAATGTGCAGGGCGTAATGAAACTTATATGGTGGGCTTTATAGCACTTTTAAAAGTGCCATAACGCCCGCAGAACATAAATATTATTTTAGTTAAAGTTATTATCATAGTTCTAAGGTATTTTAATTTCAATGTTTAAGTAACGTGATATTTGATCTCAGATTTAAAACTAAATGAAGTCAAAAGTCATTAAAATTATTCAATGGAAAAGGTTTCACAAAATCATAATTTTTCTTACGAGTACTTTATTTGGCAAGAATAAAATCCTTTAATTCCCTACACTTTTCTGTCAAGTTTAATCTTCTTTTCCCCAAATCAAAATGACCCAAGAGCTTTTATCCGGCTACATTTCCATGGTGATTTTAGCGAACGAAAAGACGGACAGCTAAGCCCGTCACGTTTGAATGGCCAAAACGAAACCAGGACCAAAACTGAAGTTCAATTTGCAATTTCATTTTCGCCAGCCGATTTGCTCATCCATAAATGATTGCCAAAACCCGGGAAAGTAATTAATTAACTGCTTTTCTGCTTGGTCCAGCGTTTATTTTTGCTCGTGCAATTATTATTATTAGTGTTTTTGGGCACAAACTATACAGAGCCTAATTTATGGGCCAGGAAAACTCTGTCAGGTAACCGTGGATGTGAGTTTGTGTGTGTTTTCCCCAATTATTCATGCAGATCGATTAGCCATGAGCCCAAAAATGGCTCATTAGGCTCAGCTGATTAAACGTTAATTAGGACAGTGGTACCGGGGCGTACTTCAAAAGAAATTTAATTAAGAGCCAGGCCTTCAAGTGAGCAAAACGACCCGCCAATCAATCGATGTTGTGTATTTGTATAGACTGAACCAATGCCTAAATGCAATCGCCTTTTTCCCCTCGATATTTGTACAGAATTTGGTTGAGCAAACAGGAGTTGGGGTGCAAAGTCAACAAAATTGCTGACGAAACGAAACGAAACGAATCAAAGACAAATAAAAAAGCATGGGGAATCGGGGGATTGAGAGTCCTAGAGTCCTAGAATGCAGTGGCTATAAAAGTGCCAAGCAAGTTGTCTTAATTAATTTTTTGCTTGGTTCCGATGAGATTCCAGCGCTACAAAGTATGCTACGTTAAAAAAGGCAAACGAAGAGCATCTCGTCCGGCTTTTGTGTCTTGTAATTGCTTTTAATCTGAACAAGAAAATGTTTACATACACACATAATTCCATACCCACTTCCCCCTTTTTTGGCATCGGCTTAAGTCCGTGCCGAAATTCAATTATTGCCAAAAATAGCAGAAAACAATTCTCCAGCGGTTGGCAAAAGTTTCACCTTAAACAAACATTTCGTTTCGTCTTTATCCTTGCAGAGCCTTGATAAGAAAACGCCGAGAGTCTGGACCAATTTATAATCGGGCCAAAAAACATAACGAATTGGGTAGGCAAATCCCGGTCGCAAGTTTCCAAGTGATTAATTTCACAAAAAGACGAGGGGCAAAAAGAGAAACAACAACTTGAGCCAATTACAACAGCGAGGCAGATAAGAAAAAGCCAGATGCCGCCATGAGTTTCCTCAGCTCCATGCAGCAATATGTAACAAGTGGCATCTCCAGTTTGGGCCTTGGCAACCGCCGCTTCTCGCTTTCGCGGCAGGAGTCGAGTGAGCAGCAGTCGGGGATCGGAGGCGCCACACCTGGCGGCCTCGTTTCCGGTCCGCAGCAGCAGCAACAGCAGCAGGTGCCGTTTCCGCAGCAGCAATTGCAGCAGCAGCAGTCACTTCCGCAGCAGCAGCAGCAGCAGCAGTTGCTGTTGCAACAGCAGCAGCAGCAACAACAGCAGCAGCAGCAACATGGACACGCCCCCTTGCAGCAACAAGCGAGCATTGGCAGCGGACTGGGCGTATATGGCACGCCCGCCCCGCCCACCGGCGTGGTGGCAACTTCCGGGGGCGGCACTAATTACCCCTCCGGAGGCGTGGTAATCGGCAATCCAAATGCGACCAATCCATTACTGGGTGAGTTCTATTTCGGATTTGGTATTTTTGTTGTCTTACCTACAAACACTAAGCAAAATTTTATTTAAATCTATGAGGTTTGCTATCTTAAATTAGGAAATAGGATTGTATATAATATTAATCATTTTTTTAGTGCTTAAGTAAACAATAAAACTTAAATGTTAAACGAATTAAAGTTTAGATTTAAAATATATGTTCCTAGGTGTATTTTAAATACTTTGAAATATGCAAACATTTTCACTGACTTTTGGGTATTACATTTTATATTTTAATACAACTGCCTGTACCTAATTACTATTTAATTAAATGTATAGTTAGGGTTGGGATACTTATAATTGCAGTCGTATAAAATCAATAAATGAAGTACTTTAATTCATATTATTACAACGACTTATACACTTCGTTATCAGAAACACATCTGCGTTTAATTAACATTTTAAAATTTAATTAACATGCGAAACTTAATGTAATTCAATTCAGTTAACTCTTACTTCAAACTATTAAAGCAATTTTGTTTATAAGCCAGTTCCCGATTAAAAAAGCTTTTGATCTGCTACCTTGTCTTATTTTTTATAGAAACTTTGTTTTCTATGTAAAAGCCTTAACGCGATAAACTCGTTGCCAAAGGTCACGTCCTCGCAGATAAAGGGAATGGGTTGGCTGGAATCCAAAAACAGACTTGCCCCTAATTAAGTTGCTAATGGAGTTTTCCGATGTGGTTTTAGCCCCCGGGACGTATCGAGTAAACATGGAATGGAAATGCATATAAAAAGTACCACTCACCTTTAAGTCGGCTACGACTTGACTTTCACTTTCACTTTCCATCAGCCGCCATAACTTGGCCTAAAACAATTTGTTTGCATATGCGTGCCGCAAAGATGGTAAACATGGAAAAGTTTATTGAATCCGCCAGACGCTATCGTCATCGGTTCTCAATATGAAAATTACATTACATGTCTTGCCAGCCACCAAATGCGCCCAAAGTTTGCCAATCGCCGAATGTTTTTTGGGGCAACGTCTCTCGCATATGGATCAACAAATGTGCAGACAAAACCACCGCAATGGGGTGCCAGTTGGTTCGGGATGGAGGATAGTGGATGCTACACAAAGAAATACAATTCAGGGACTCAGGATTGGAAGATGATATGCAATATAAGATGAATTAAAATTTTTAAATCAAAAATTTTTAAATTAGTTTTACATCACCACACCGACAAAAATATAATATAGTATGTAGTACAATATAGTAAAATATTTAGGTCAAGGCTATCAACGTTTTCTAGATTTTTAAAGTCTTTCCTGGTTAAAAAGTTATACCAAAAAATAACATATTGTGAAAGCAGATGCCATTATTTAAATTAAAGAAGAGACTTTCTTTCTGTTTCTTTACCAACCAAATCTTCGTTTGAAATAACATATATAGGCTAATAAATTTGGTTGATTTATTGAAGTTATGATGAAAATAGTTCCATATTGTGGATTGTTAAAGTATATAATGAAATGTCTTTGTTTTCGGGTTTAATAGGGTTTTTTTGGTTGATAGATTAGATTTATTAACATATTTCGTTACTTAATCTTCCCTTTTGGTGCACTTATTTTCCCAGTGTAGCATCTCTGGCGGAGCGAAAGCAATCAACATGCATATGTGACTTCTTGTGCGGCTTCGTTTCCGCTTTGGCTCCGTTTGGCTATGCAAAACTTGTTTGCCAAGCTAAACGATGTTCGAGGTTGTTGTTTCCAACGTAGTTGGCAAATGCAAACACATTTAAATGTCAAGACGCAGCAGCGTGTCCTGGCCACAAACCGCCTTATCCAGAACTTTCCAGTTTTCCGCCTTAGCCATCACCATCTCGCCAACTTCAACGACATTGACTTGGCATTTGGCTGGGATTTTGATTCAGCGTCTTGGGCAGCATTTGAATCAAAATTGAAATTGGCTTATCTTGTTGCACGAGCCACGAACGAGTGGTTTTTGCTGGCCAACAGGGAGTTCTTTTTAGCAAAAAGCCATCAACGTGTAAGCGCCTCTACCCATTACAGACCAACTTTGACTTTACGCTTTGTGCACACTTTTAAACCGAACAGAACCGAAATTTCTGTGCATATTCGTTTTCGTTTTTTAGCTTTTACTCGTAGTTTTTTGACTGCATTCAGTCCAGGCTGCTCTCTGCTACTTGGCCAAAAAAAGCTTTATTTCCGAAGCCACAGTAATGGTTAGCTATTTCCATCCCAAGCCCCGCACCACAGGCACTCTGAGCGGGGCTTCTGTGCCTGCTGGTCGTAGTCGTGGTCCTTGGGAGCCAGGAGTGGCAACAGGACCAGATGTAGGATCCGCAGGAGCCACACAGATGCATGTCAAGGTTGCGGGCTGCGGTTCTCGTTGCCGTTGCCTTGAGCACGGACCACTGCACCACACGGAACCACACGGCACCACATTGACTTTGACTGTACTGTACTGTTCGCTACCCACCTCACCTTCGTGGGAGCCATCATCCACCTGTACTCCACAGATATTTGCATGTTTTGGAAATTATGGGAAATAGCACAGGGGAGAATAGTTTCCACATACCAACTTCTTGTATGACTTAGAACTATACAATCTTCTTTTGTAAAGAAACTTTATGGAATTAGGGTGTTAGACAAAGAAAAAAAAAGATCAGGCCCCATTTTCTATATGTTCCTGCAAAAGTGCTAAAAATATTTTAACAACCTATAAAAATGATAAATAAAAAACTGTTACTAGTAATTTATTAAAACTAATGGCTTATCTTAACTATTTAAAGAATATTCTATAATTAATAATTCCAATAGATTGTTTATCTACTGTATAACAAAGAGACACTTTTTCTTCTTCATTTGTTGTTAAAAGTTTAATCTTTATAATTTGATTTTAAGTGCTATATAAATTTTTAAGCATTTATTTGCATAAGTCTATGAATTTAATAAATATATTTTAACTAGTGTACATAAATTAATTTACTTATTGGTAAACATAATACGATGCATGACCATTAATAAGCAGATTAAGTTTAAAATGTATTCAAAGCCTGAAAGCTTTATAAGTTAGATGTTAATGGAATATACAGAGCTTATATATTTTTTTAAGCCCCAACAATTGCTTGTTGTTCACCGGCTTTAAGTTAATTCCTGCAATTTGCTCATGCTTTTACCCCTTCCTTTTCCGCCACAGGGTATCCGAAAATTCCAGGTGGTTCTGGGGGACCCGGCAGTCCCTCGACTTCCGCCTCCGGAGGGGGCACGCCCCAATCGCGTCGCCAGTCGAGGGCGCTGGAATGCCTGGCCCCGCCCCGCACCGGATCCTTCAGGCAGCGAAACTCGCCGCTGCACCAGCCGGATCCGCCGCCCCGTCCCCCGCTGGCCTTCTGCAAACGCCGGTTGAGTTGGCCCGAAGTGGACCCTCGCTCCAATTCCGGGTAAGTCTGAATTTCGAATCCCAATCTCAATCCAAGTCCGGCATATCCTAATGCATAGCTGATGATGTGGGAATGGATTTGGCAAATTAAAAGCCTGTCTGGGGCGGGAAAGCCCGTGTTCATGTTTACAGGCGGTAATTAAGCCACACAAATGGAAATGCTAATATTTTGCCCAAACTTGGCCGACAGATATTTACACACGCGTGTGCGCCGACAGAGGTATTCGAATGTGAAATGCATAAATTAAACATGGCTGGCATAATGAGCTTCTTAGTGGGATTATTTGGCCGCCGACTTAAAGTCACCTTACTGGCGAAAATCTAAAATAAATTATATAGGTATACCAATTAATTAATGTACTTCAATTTCAGTTGTGTTTTGGATTTGTTTTCCCAATTGCCAGGCGAAAGTTTACCGCTCGACCTTCATAATTACGTAATTACAAAAGTTCTTTCAGTTTCGAAAGAAACTTTAGGCACCCACCCACTTTTATAAGACCATGGCAACTTGGGATGCGGGCAAAATCCTTTGAGTGTCGAAAAGTTTATTTTTTAGAAAATAACCTGCACATAGAGTGTCTTGTTTTGGGGCTTGGCTTGGGCTTAAAGGAGCCCTTTGGTCCTTGGGCTCTGAGATTGCTCTTAATGTGGCCGAGAATCTGGCTGCCAGGTGCAACATCCTCCAGCCGCTGCAACATTCTCGTTTTTTGTGGCTCAAAAGCCAGCTCTGGCACTTTGCATAATGCGGCATCTGCTTAACCTGGAAATGTGCGGATCACAGGGTACATTTAATTAAGCCAGAAAATGAGTTTTACTTTCCGAGATTGCTTAAAGAAATATGAGGTTTTGATGAGGCGAAAGTGTGAAATGCTTTCTGAAGAGGTCTGTCTTGTTGAGAAGTTTTAAAATCCATTAACATGGTTGGCTTTCCGGCTTAATTGGTCTCGTGGAGTGCACCAAAAAATTGTTCAAGAGTGAAATTAATTTTCCCGCATTGTAAACTTATCGTCTGAAGCACTCCCAAGCGAATATTGACCACTACCAAATATGTTTTTACAAAATATTCACCTGTTTGATTTATCCACATCTAATTGGATGCAATTTAAAACTCTATTTTCTGTACCATTTGGAAGTCAAACCAAAAATTAAGCTTATTAAAATCCAATTGATGAACGAAATTTCATATTTTATGCATTAACCACTAATTGCCACAAAATTGGTTTGGCACCACAGCCATTAAATTTTAGCAAAACGAAAATAAATTGCGAATGCAGGGCAAAAAGGCAGATTAATTTATATTTTATGTGAGCACTCAACTCTACGTTGTTTGTGATAATTTATTTAGAATCATTTTACATGCAGACAAATAAAAACCAATATTAATTATGTGCTGCAAAATCTAAAGAACGCCGTGAAAAAAAGTAAAACTTGTGCTACCGAAAATTGTTTACGTTAAAGTAAAATACAAAATAAATATTTGCGACAAAATAAATACCCAAGAAATATAAAAAAGTTCAGCAAGAACTTTTCCCTGAGCCACAAAACAGCAAAAAATGACAGAAGAAAACTGTGAAAAATCTTAAAAATTGAAACCGAAATTGAGTGTTTCTGGAAGCGATGAAATCACAAGGCGAGGCAACAAGAAGAAAAATAAAAGCAACACAAACATCTGGGCGAAAAGTTTAAAATGAAATTTTTTACAAACAACTTTTGAGGGGGACAACTTTAGACAATGCAGTTAGTGTCCTTGGATCACCCAGTTCACGTCTACCCTATCATTTACGGCAATTATGTTGACCACTTTCACACGCCTTCCGCCCCCCTAAAAAAAACACCTAAATATATAAATATATATTTATTTATCTAGATGTATGTGTATTAACACCAGGAGGTGTCCACAAAAAGTGTTGCCTACATTTTGGGGACGTCGCTTTGGGAAAAAGTGCCGACAGAAAGTGTTGCCTACTTTCGGGGGCCTCGTCTCTTCAGTTTATTTTTTGCCATAAACGTAAACGTAAAAAATCATCAACGGCGGCGACAAAGTTAAGCCGCTTAGCTGTTTCGTTTCCCCTGCTGAGTGGACAAAGTTTTGGCCAACTTTTTTTGCCACAGCTGCTAGGATAAATCCGCTTCTCGGCTAAAAGTGAGGGGCATGCAAATCAAATGATTAGGCATAGCATCAACTATCGTGACTAGTATTAGTTAGGAGCCAGACACAGAAAGTTTCGATACAGAATGCACTGGAAAAAAATATAATTTTGAAAAAGAAAATATTAGATTTTATTTAATCAATTCCCAATGACTCACATTTTGAATATTTTCACACTAGATAAGTATTTTATTTATATTTACAGTAAACAAAAAATTTTCTTAAGAATACAAAAAAACATCTGATTTATTATGGTTAAAAATAAATATATTTTTAATTTAAAGAATCTATTGGAGTGTTTACAAATATTTTTAAAAATAAAATATTTTGTTTTTGAGCTATTTTTATTGTTTTTATTTGGTAATTATACCCGTTACTCGTAGAGTAAAAGGGTATACTAGATTCGTCGGAAAGTATGTAACAGGCAGAAGGAAGCGTTTCCGACCCCATAAAGTATATATATTCTTGATCAGGATCACTAGCCGAGTCGATCTAGCCATGTCCGTCTGTCCGTCTGTCCGTCTGTCCGTCTGTCCGTCTGTCCGTCTGTCCGTCTGTCCGTCTGTCCGTCTGTCCGTATGAACGCTGAGATCTCGGAAACTATGAGAGTTACAATACTGGGATTAGGCACGCAGATTCCTGAGATTCCTGCGCAGCGCAAGTTTGTTTCAGTAGAGTGCCACGCCCACTCTAACGCCCACAAACCGCCCAAAACTGTGGCTCCTACAGTTTTGATGCTAGAATAAAAATTTTAACTGAAATGTAATGTTCTCATCAATACCTATCGATTGACCTAAAAAAAAGTTTGCCACGCCCACTTTAACGCCCACAAACCGCGAAAACCTGTGACGCCCACAATTTTTATGCTAGATAAAAAATTTTAACTGAAATGTATTCGTCTCGTCATTACCTATCGATTGACTCAAAAAAAAGTTTGCCACGCCCACTTTAACGCCCACAAACCGCAAAAACCTGTGACGCCCACAATTTTCATGCTAGATAAAAAATTTTAACTGAAATGTATTGGTCTCGTCAATATCTATCGATTGATCCAAAAAATTTGCCACGCCCACTCTAACGCCCATAACGCTTAAATCTGTATACCGCCGGTAGGTGGCGCATTTTAATCTCGCTTTGCTGCTTGCATATCTCCATTTAGCTGAGTAACGGGTATCTGATAGTCGAGGTACTCGACTATAGCGTTCTTCCTTGTTTTTTAAATCAAATTAAGGTTTTCTTAGTAAATATATAATTAAATTAGGCCTATGAATTTTTTTGTCTGTACCAATCTGCTGAATATTTGTATACAATTAGCGGCTCAGGGTAAGCCTTCGTTTTTGGGGCATCAAGCATACGCCGAGTGGTCCCCGGCAACAGGCGGTGACCCTTATCAATGTTGAAATAGGTACGGCCATGTCACATTTGTATGTTGGCAACGGCATATTGACAGTGCCAATTAAAGTCAGACACCGAACTGACAGCAGCAGCAGTATTCGATTTGAATATCCTTTGATATCGCATCGAGAGATAGGGAGTCCATAAAAATACACATATGTAGAATAACCCTTTCTCTTCCACGTTATTTTTTTGCATACACAGGGTACAGGAAACGGATGGGTCGTACTTTGAGAACTTTACATCGCTCGGTTGGAAACGTGAAAATCGTCGCATGTCGGCCACGCGTGCCGCCGAAGCACGTGCCGAGGCTAATCCCGAGAATGAACGTGATCCGCCGGCGAGCGAGGAGTCCATTGACCGCCAGGACGAGAAGGAGAAGCTGTACGCGGAGATCCTGCACACCATTGCCAACACGGTGGGCGCCCCGGCTCCAGGTGGCCAGGTAAATCAATATACGAGGGATAGTTACCCCTAAAATAAAATTATGATTAAGGATGGTGCGGGGGGTTATGCAAATAGTTGCAAATTACATAAATTAAGGCGATTTAAGGGGATACCAAAAACATTTTGGCCTCGGGCCGGGGACAACCACATGATTGAAAGGCTTAATAGCAGGGCATTAGGCTTTGAGACGTTTTGCAATTTGAATGATTAATGCTCGGGTTGCCCCTAAGGCAAGAAAACACATTCTGGGATTTTGGATATTTCGGGAAAGGAGATTGGAGTTTAAAGCCCCTAAAGTGGAGTGGGTAAAAATCAAAAGGCAGGCAGCAACTTCATTTCATTTCCGAGCTCTCAAGTCTCTAATGCTGAGAGCTGAAATTCAATTAAAAATGTGCTACTTTTCCTCCTCATTGCTGATTGCCATTTCAAAAGGAATTTTCCAATATTTTCACAATATTTCTGCGATGGCCGGGGCCAGCTTAACACGAGTTCATTTTTCAATAATCGTTTTTAATTTAGCAGTAAGAAAATTGTTAGACGCCCAGTGCACAACTAATGAAACTTGAGCAGTTCCCCCGGGGGGTTGGGGTTGGGAAATAATGTGGGGTGGATTGGAGTGGTAAGATGGGATGGCAGATGGCAAGGTTACGCCAGCATAACAAAAGTTTCAACTAGTAGCGGAAAATAACGTTGGTCCTCCTGCTGTGATTGAGTTGAAACCGGTCAAATCTCGCGGGTCCCCGCAAAGCGGATCGAGAAATGAGAAAAGGGACGCAGGACGAAGGATGGAGGTACGAGTTAGCCAAGTCAGTAAAGTTATTGCCTGGCCATCTCTGCGGGTGTCCCACTGCTCGAGTTTTTTGCATTTAATGGTAAATAATTACAAGTAAATGCGATTTGCTCGGCCAGCGCCATCAGAGGGTTAAGCCTGCCCTAATGGAAATTAATGAAAAGCGAAAAAAAATTAAATAAAAGTAATAACGAAATGGAATGCAAGGAAAGTTGCACGGAACAGATGCTGAGTGTTGAAGGTTGCTTAGTTATATAATCTGGCCAAGTGGTGTTCATTAAAAGGATAAAACAAACTGAGGTTGAGCTGCCCCTCAACTGAAACTGAGATTATTTTCAATTATAAAGAATTATCTGCAGTGGAACTCAAAGGGCGTTAATAGGGCAGTTATTTTTATGGCTTAATGAGGATATAAGCAGGGAATTCCTCACAACAGAAAGGTTACTTTACAAACGTGCACTCGAAAGGGAATATTTAATTTGCGTACTTAACCATTCCGTATTTTGCAAACATACCCAAATCAATCTTGTGCCAGTCGTCTCACATATTCTGTCTGCTCATTATTCATTCCCAGACCCAATCAATGAATTGGGTTTGCTTTCTAAAAAGAGAATTAAAATAAAAATAATGTGATTAGATTTGCAAAATAAATCTGCATTCTCTTTCAAGTGAGTTTTTATGGTAGTCAAGTTTATTCATAATTTTGACTGCAGCGAAAGCAATCAATTTATAATAACATCCCAGTAGTGGGGAATGTGAATGTGATGAAAGCGTTTTTAGAAGCTTGATTCAAATCAAAAAATTGGCAGGCTAATAAATTCAAGGGAGATAAATCAATATCAATAGAGATGGAAAACTGAGAGAGGAAAAAGGAAAGTGGATTTTGTTTGATGAGGGGCGGGCAATAAGGGAAAATGCTAATTTACCCCAAAAGTGATATTATAATTTCGTTGACTTGCCAAATATTTACAAATAACTGACAATATAATTAAATTAAATGAGTATAATATTTACACTCCCCATGGCGTATACGCAATTTGGCATGACACATGTGTCTTTCACCAAACCGAAAAACCGAGCACAGTTTGCACATTACAAGGACGAAATGTATCTGCACGCACAGCGCGCCTTCGGTGTCAATCCGGATCGTCATTATCGCCTGCTGCACGCCTCCGCCGAGGATAAACCAAAGATAATCGTACTCTCTGCGGTGGTAATCGAGGCTGATGGCCTCGAGGCAAAGGATGCCAATGGTAAGCCAGTTCGCTCGTTCTCACACAGCTTTCCGCACAATCGACACTTTACCATTCCTCCCCCCCCCCCATACTTTCACCACTTTCCCCACTTTCCCATCCAATGTGTCAATCCGTCTATCCATGTATCGTGTGTAAATATTTTTAGTTTGTAAATTGATTTTGCGGCCACTGCGGTAATTGCATTATGAAGCTCTGTGGCGGTGCGTGTGTGCACTTGGGCAAATCAAAAAGCCAAACGAGCCATCCATAAACTGAGCACCATGTGCGTTGACTATTTCCCCCAATTATCCTATATATATTTTCGTAGCGTTTTTGTTGTTGACCTCCCTCACGCAGAACCAAGTCAAAGTTACAGTTTTGGTTATGCCTCTTCTGCCGGCTTCTGCTCGGTGTGCGTTCAATAAATTTGCAATTTAATGCTTCCCATTTTGTTCATTATGCTCAAGAGCCAGAAGCCCCACAACCAGAAGTAGGACTACAGTGAGAGAAATATAGCTACAGTTTGAAAATAATATTCAAAATATATCTATAGTGCTTCTCATAAATAAGAAGAAACTGATCACTTTTAAAGATTTTAATTCGATTGTTAACGATTCACGTTCTCAATATCAAGAGTAAGTTCTGATTTCTCAATGTCATATTACCGTTTGTCTTTGAGTTTATTTGCTGTTTCGGATAAATTTAGTTTCTCAATACCATGCTAGATTTTATCTCACTTAAAACTTTTGACTAGAAGCAACAGTCTAGTTAAGTTTATCATAACATTGAGAAAGCGAATTTGTCTTTCCGAACAATTAAACTTCATGTTAACTTTCTCTAACATACAACAAACTAAACTAAAGTTTGATTAATTGGCCATAAGTATCCTAAGGTTTTGGAATATTAATAAAATAGTTTTAATATACTTTTATTAAATTAGTTTTTTACAAGTTCTTAGCTTAATTATTTTGGTTATTTGATTAAAATACCACTATTATAATATTTCGGCAATTCTTGCAGCAGGTGCAGACTTGTTAAGATTACGTATGATGTCTTTAAAAATTATATTTTTCTATAAAGAGGTATCCAAAAAAGTTGAATTATTTAAATCTCCTTTAGAAAGGACTACTTTTTATAAAATACCTTTAAGCTTACTTTATAGAAATTCAAATTCTTCTCTGTGCAGCAGCAGCAGCAGCCTCATCGAAGGCAACGCAATTTCGCATTTTAATGTGCTCAAGGATGTGTAAGGAATACGTTGAGTGCTCCTTCGACTGCGTCTGCTTCTGTTGGAGCATTTTTCTAACCCCCCCGGACGACCCCTCCTCGCCCACTCGCCTCCCCGCCCCTGTATAGTGGTGCAGTGTTAGTGTGCCGTCTGCCATCTGCTAAATGTACTGATGACGGCTACCGTCTGGAAAGGCAAAGGCAACACCAAATAGGCCAGAATGAGGCATCTGGATGGGGTCAAAAGAAGGGAGGGGTTGGGGGAAGGAGGAGTCCCCGGGCAGATGGCAAACAACTCGTTGCCAATGAAACGTGGCCGATGAGAGCGGTCGGCCTTTGTTTGGCCCAGTCTCGATTGGCAAATAAGCTGCGAAAGCGGAGAATCAGGTTCAGTTCCGTTCCGTTCGGTTCGATTTTCATTAGCAGCCAGTGATTCCTTGCAGACTGGTCAAGCATGAAGGGCAACAATCAAATTGCCCATTACAATGAGTGCCCGAGTGTACGAGTACGAATTTCAAATGAATCATTTCTGCGCCGTAATCGATTTACCGGCAAAAAAAAATAAACCCACTGAAAGTAAATCCAAATCGGAAGAAATTGGTTTTAGTACATAATCAGCATGGGCAAGCGGATGCGGGCCCACCATATTTGCTGTCATTTTGAACCCAATTAAATTAATCGCCCCGAAATAATACCAATAACAGATATTGTCCCCAAGGCAGCGTAATTGTTTCAATTATGGGTATCTTTGTGCGAAAGTCTTTTCCTTGGCAACGGACATCTGTGGCTGCCGAGGCTGAGAGGCCATTGCTGTGCGCGTAAATCACAGGCACTCAATAATTGAGCGGCACTTTATGCAAATGAAATGTTAATCATACGCAATGTGTGACTGGGACCAGCTGACGCCACGTCGTCCCCGCGGGCAGTGCCATTAATTGGCATTTAATGTCATCAGGCGAGCTCTTCATTAATGCGCCAGCATTTCTCACACCCTCTTGCCTACCCATACTCTCTCTTTTACCAGCTTTTTGTCTTGGCCTTTACAGAGATGAAAACATAATATCAGTTACATTCTGCCATTGAGGCTTTATAATTGGTTTATAATTGTAGTTATTGAAAAATCACTTAAATAAAGTTAATTTATTTTAATAGGAAAATGTTGAGATTATTTAATTTTTTAATATCTGAAGTGGTATATTATCGAAAGGAATTCAACTAATTACAGTTTTCATATTTAAAAAATACAATTTTAAAATACAAATGTTCTTTTAAAAATGTTTAAGGAGAACGTGAAGAAAAAGGTTTCTTTAAATATTTAAATTAAATGTATTTTATGAAGAAAGCTGTTGCTGAAACTTACCCTGTTTCAAAAGAACAACAATTCTATGCTTATGTTTTGATATATTTAGCTCCCCCTTTTTAAGTTTATCCCATATAAACACGTTAACTACTTTCCAAATATTTTTTCTCTGTATTTTCGAACACCCCATGTGTAACCCACACTTATTTCAACCCATACTCAATTATTTATTGGCCCTGCAGGTTTCTCGGATCCGTACTGCATGCTGGGCATCCAGCCGGACGAAAACGGCGGTCCGCCCGTGTCGCCGCTGCCGCTGCCGCCGACGCCGCGCGCCCTCTCGGCGGACATGAGCGGCGGCTTTGATAACAGCGCCACGGACTCTCCGCCGCACCGGAAGCACAGCTTCCGGCTGAGCTTCAAGCGGCGGGAGGCGGGACGGCGGGAGCAGCGCGACTCACTGGGCGGACCCGTACCGGCCAAGCTCATCAAGGCGACCAGCATCAAGCCCCACACGCTGACCCCCAAGTGGAACGAGAAGTTCAAATTGTGAGTAAATCAATACGATTCCCATTTAGTGACAGATTTTTAGATCATTAGTATGTTGCGACTGTTGAAATTTAAATAAAAGATTTACCACTGCAAAGCATCATTTGTCCTGGACATTTAATAAATCTAAAAATAACCTAGCCACAACAAAAATTCGAATAAATCTTTGACATCTGTGGTCTTAGAGCCCTGTCACATACTCAACGAATCGCTTCAATATCGAACGTTATTTACGAGTTGTAGGCCATAAAAGAAAGAAATTCATTTACATTGTCCATAAAATTGAAACACGAATGCACCATGAAATGCTCCATAAGAAATGCAATGAATTTTATGTTGCAATTGCAATACAAATGGAAAAGGATCTCAATTAAACATAAGGAATCGAATTTAAAATACCCTGATATTTTTACAAATAAATTATAAAATGACATATATATTATTGTTCAATGATATAAAATTGTTTTATTCTACTTTTTGCTATTAAATCGTAGAAACTCCAGCAATTATTAACAAGAATTAACCTTGGGTATTATATTTGCATTCGAGAACAATATAATTTCCATGACCTTGATATTTCTAGACTGCAAACTCCAGTTCCCAGAAATAATCAAGAAATATTTTTCATGCTTCAAACAGTTGGTTCACAGAAATTACAAATTATTATTATTGAATAGCAGTCGAGGAATATTTTGCTAATGAAGTTTCAAGTTCTTTCTGAGAAATCAACACAATGTAGAGTGAAAGTTGCTTCAATTTAAAAGGGACCATAAATCATGTAATAAATCAAATGGAGCAGCAAAGCTCAGTTTACTGTCTGAGAAAAGCACCATAAACTCATGGTAGCATGTGTAAATCTTCAATAATGAATGAATAAGAGTAAATTGCCCACAAATTACCATTAATCCAACCAACACTCATTGGAAATTAAAGGTAAAATTTAAAAATGTTCTATCTACTACAGCGACATTGATGACATCAATACGGACACCTTCCACCTGGACATTTGGGACCACGACGACGAAAGCTGCGTCATGGACGCCGTCTCGCGACTGAATGAGGTCCGTGGAGTTCGAGGATTGGGCCGTTTCTTCAAACAGGTGTGCCAATCGGCTCGCCAGGGCTCCCAGGACGATTTCCTGGGATCCGTGAACATTCCGGTATCCGAAATCCCATCCACCGGACTGGATGCTTGGTTCAAGCTGGAGGCACGCAGTCATCGGAGCACCGTTCAGGGCAGAATCCGGCTTAAGATGTGGCTCTCAACTCGCGAGGACCGGAGCACCGTCAGCGAGGAGAACCACGAGCAGCAGATCCACAAGGTCGAGCAGCTTCAAAGGGTCTTCATGCAGCACGAGGTGACCACGCACGAACCTTCGTGGACCTGGTGTGGCGATCTACCGGGTCCGGCTCTTACCATCCTGCATCAGCTGGCCGTGCAGGGGGATCTGTCGGACCTGCACTGTGCCATGGCAAGGTTGGTTCCCTTTTAATTTTATTTTCCTATAAATATCTTCAAGAACACGACAGAGATTTTTTTTCAAGGAACCCTAATAGATGATTATTTATATTTTTTATATCAGAATGACTACCCAAACAAAATAAGTGTTTACTATATATACCAACTACAAAGAAAAAATTTTTGTTAACATTTTTTTTAGATATTAAATACAACTTTTTTGGCTTCTGTGGTATTTGGGTAACACTTTTTTAACTCAATAAAAGCAAATATCTTCCTTAAATATATCAAAAATTTAAAAAAAGTTGTTTTAGTGTTCTAAGAAACAATTTCTCAAATTTTTTTAATTTCCAACATTATTTTATCCTTAAATTTCCTATTTTCCCTGAAACTGGCATCCAAAATTTATAAATCTTTCAACATCATCCATTTCCAGATATGTGGCTGCTGCCAAATTGAATAGATCCACCCCGCTGGACCCCAAATTCCTCCACCGGCTGCTCAGCGATGTGGAGAAGCAGTGGAATCAGCCCAACCAAGAGGCCCTTAGTCGAGATCTCGAGCAGTGGCTGGCGGATGCCATGAACGGCTTCGTGGAGCGCTCCCTCAATCAAATCCGACGGCACCGGGACATTTTCCCCGCCTTGAATCCACCCTCGCTGATTCGCCTGGAATTCCTGCTGCGCTGCCTGGGACTCCTGGGTTCGATGAGGGCCTTCAGAGCCGTGTGTCCTTTCAATAAGGGCGTGAGGGGCGAGGTGGTCAACGCCCTGCGTAAGGGATCCGTGATGTGGGGCCAAACCGTGATGCGGGAGTCGCAGGGACTGCCCAATCCATTATCGAATTTCGTTACAACATTAACGGCCGACATTCAGCTGGGACAGACGTACTATCATGCCCTTTTCGACAAGTGAGTAGATTTTCGTATCACTTTTAGTCGCCGGTTCGGCTTCAGTTAGTTACCTTTGGAAAATCCCCAACCATGGGATTGAGAATGTGGCACACGTGTCGACCATTAAACGGGTCCAAGGTCCACACTCGTAGCGAACAAATAAAATGTACCGAGCAGTTTAACAAAACAAGCAGAGTCCTGGTTACGGCCCCATTCCAGAACCCCCTATCCCGGGTTACCATGTGAACGGTGCACTCCGTGTTGACCCAATTGAATTGTGGCCCCCACGCAAATGGCGTCATTTCGATTCCAACTAATCCGCCATCGTAGCCGGGGGCGGAGCACTTTACAGTTGCCGGTCTCTAATCAGTTTGAGCATTTGTCAAATGGCCCAGTCAAAGTCATAAAGCTAACGAGCATTAATGAGGGCCACAGAATGTTGTCATGACAGATTGCCGGCAGCGTTGAGAACAGCAAACTACTTAGCCCGAGGGGGTGATGTTTTCAACTTAACTATTGCAATAAGTATAAGAAAGTAAACCATTTTATTCAGCATGTACGTTGGGTTTTTTAAGGATATCTGAGATTTGATTTGGTATTTCCTTGGGGAAGTAATCGTTTACATCGAGAAAGTACTTTAGATTCATAAAAAGCTATTTCTATAATTTATAAGTGTCTTTTTCAAGAGTACACTCTTACAAATTAGTCAGCATAGAGCATTTTATTGGATATTTAATTTCTTCATCAAATTCCCCTTGGCCGGCTTTTCACTTCTAGACTGACACATAATGTGCTTCGTGTCAGTATTTTGAAATCTCACCCAAATGAAATGATAAATTGATCCCCCAGCGGATCACGTTACGGCATTAAACGCAACCGGAAGGGCTTCAATAACGGCTCATTTATAGATGCATAGGGCCGCCTTCTTGGTCCTCCCGCCGGCCTAATCAGTCACATATTTGCCAGTTAGCGCGGCCATAAAAGGACCTTAATGAGGACATCAAGTGGCTTACACACATAAGCCCCAAATTAATTGCGCTGTCATAAAAATGCTCTCACGTTGCCTACTGCTTTCGGCTGGGCGAGCAACCCGGACATCCTGACGAGGCATTTAACAAATGTCCAGGGGCTGTCAGCCAAAGTGTTGAGTGTCGAGTTCCTGATGCCGAGTCGGCCAGCATTAGCAAAATGTATTTCGAGGCTAATTGCGCCATTTTAAATTCGGGGGGACCATTTAATAATATGCTGCAGGTAAATTGGCAGGTTGAAGGGCTATTATGTATAGTCGGGTGTCAAAAATTGTTTTGACCTTCGATATGATACTGACTTAAATTTAGAAACGTTCACTGGATTTATTTAAAAAGTCATGGGATCCTAGAAAAAGGTGGTTAAAATATGGTTGCTTGAGTTGTAAAAAATGATGCTCTTATTTATACAAAGGGATCAGCAAAAGGGATTTTCAGGATAAGCCAAGACCAGATACACAAGCTAAGGAGCTATAACAGTTAACAATTAAGACTGTACAAGAAAAAAACTTATTTAGATCTTGATTTTAATTTATTAAATATGTTTAAAATACTTTGAAAGTTTATAAGGTAGCCAGACTTATGAACAAAGGTATATAATCAGAACTATATGAGAACAAAGTAAGACCACAAACCAAAGAAAAAGTAGCCCACAAACTATTAAAGCAACATTATTGTGCAACCCATCCCGAGCCCCCGAGACTTACAAAGTAATCCCATAAATCGATGCCCAGCCACGTAAACGCTTCTCTCACTTTCTTTCCCGACAGCACGAATGGGATTCAGTACTTCAGCATCATCTACAAACAATACGATGCGATGGTGGGCGAGGAGGTGTACAGTCGGATGGCCGCTGGGCAGGTGCCCGGGGTGCGGATGAACCTCTCCCAGTACGCCGTGCTCGAGGGCGATGCGGAGCCGGTGGATACCAAGCCGTTCGAGCTTTTCCTGGCCCTGCAGGAGTTCTGCCAGCTGAAGCGGCACCTGTCCGCCCAGCCGCAGCCTCCGGAGAAGCCGCTGGCGTTGAGCAACAGCCACGAATGGTTTATACCCACGCTGGAGCGGTGGATGATGGTGAGCAAAGCTAAGGCGCTGCAGAGGATCAGGGCGGCTATCCGCATGGATGCCATCTGCGAGGGCGAGCGGATTGTGCGGTACAGTAGTTCCTCCGTGGACACGGCCAGCACGCTGCTGAACATCAAGGAGTTCTGGAAGGTGATGAACTGGCCGGATGAGGACACGGCCATCATGATGGAGTCGCAGCTCATTGATGTGGTCTGTTCGGCTGCCATGCACTATTGCGATCTGATTCACACGGCCTTGGCGGACAGTGGTTACTATGAGCAACAGGGTCCATTCCGGTGCTCCGATGACATGTGCGTCACCGTCAACAATGTGGAGTATGTGCGTCGCACTCTGGCGGAGTTTCGATCCGATGAGCAACCACTGGAGGAGTCGGCAGATAACCTCCTGGAGTCCAGTCTCACCCACATGGAGAACCGGTGTGAGAGGATCTTGTCTAAGTTGGCTCCACTCATGCAGATGTCCCTGCAAAAGGCCATGTTCCATCTGGCCTGGTCACCTGACTCCCTGCCCGCGAATCAAGCTATTGTTCCTTTGTTGGAGTACCTGGATTGCCACCTGGCTGCCCTGAACAGTGCCCTGCTCACCAAGAACTTCAACCGTTCGCTGCGGTTCATTTGGAAAACTGTCCTGGGCGAAATGTCGCGGCAAATGGAAACCGGCGATGAGACGGACAAGCCAACGCATTTCCACAAACGTCTCTATGAGGCACTGCAGCTGCTCATCGATTTCTTTCATGCCGAGGGTCAGGGATTGCTCCTGGAGTGCCTGCACACCGAGGATTTCTGGCGCATCGAGCAGAGGCTCCAGTTCCACAAAACGGACACGGATCGGCTTATAGATATGTTCTACATGCAACGTCTGAGGGAGCAGCTGATGGCCGTCATGCCATCTCCATATGGATCGCTGGCCGTGAGGGCCTACTTCAACCACGATTCGCTGTGTGTGGAGGTCCTGCATGCCCGAGATGTGGTGCCCTTGGATCCGAATGGTTTCAGCGATCCCTTCGTCGTTATCGAACTGCTGCCCCGCAGGATTTTCCTTCACTGCATGGAGCAGCAGACCAATGTGCACAAGGTAAGCTTTAAGATTGTTTTCTATTTAATATAAATTTGGAATAGAGTGATCTTCTCTTCGAAGACACTATTATATTAAAAACCCAAATTTTAGGAAGTCACTTAATATATTGAAATCATTTTTAAAAAGATCTTGGTCTCAAATTGATAAATTCGAGAGTACTTTTGTCTTGATTTTAAGAATGTTTCTTCTCGAATAAATAAGAAGTGAAATCCTCAATTGGATGAAAAAATTTTAATTCAAGATTCTTATTTTAAGTTGTAATAACGAGTATTATTTACTTATTCCAGCGCACTCTGAACCCCGTTTTCGACGAATGCTTCGAGTTCTCGGTGACCCTAGAGCAGTGTTTAACTGAGGGTGCCATGATCTGCTTCACGGTGATGGACCACGATGTTCTGACGGCGAATGACTTTGGTGGGGAGGCCTATTTGGCTCTGGGTAATATTCCCGGAGTGGCTGACTACAGCACGAGTGTGGACAACTTCCATGGTCTGAAGCAAATCGAACTGCCCCTCATGGAGCAGAAGGATAAATGTGAGTAGAACACTTTCTGACAACCTAATCTCCATCGATGCTATGTAAAATGTTTTCCCCTCCCCCCCCAAAAGGCAATCCCATTTTGCAAATCCTCGAGGTGCGAATCAACGACAAACAGGCGCAGGACTTTGTGCGCAAGCAAAAAGCGCGATTTATCAATTGATTTTAAAAAGGATTGAAATAGAAAACAGGACTACCGAACGAACCGTTTGTAAAACGTTTTGAACCCCGATGAAAGTGCGGATCGAGCAATGTAATTGCAACGATGGCGACGACGATGATAACTTAACCAAAGCTAAATTGTAACCAATCCAGCATTGTATGTATTGTATTTAATCTAGTTGTTTGACAAAGACTCCTCCTTCTCTTCAGTTTGTAAATGTTAGCGAAGAATCGAAATTCAAATGGTGCAAATGTGACGAGTAACACGAATGTGGAAAACCAGGTTCCCTGCTCTACACTAAAAGTTGCTTGAACAAAATTACGGATAAATTAAAAACACAATTTAGGGACTTATTAGAAGCCTAGCATTGCTGAAATTGTCACAATTGGGCAATCCATGAAAAGTAATTAGCCAACAAAGTCACAAAAATAAACGAACACACAAAACTCGAGCTACCTACTCCAGCACCCAGATGCGTTTTGAAGACTTTTACCAGAAACACGATTAAGATATAAATACAAGGATTTTCCGACCACCGGAACTTCGTTAAGAACGCGCAAATATCACATATACACAAAACATTTTTTGGGTCAATTTAAAATATACGAATATATCAGCAACATGTATACCTAAATATACAAAAGACAATTCAGCATCTTTTCTACCATATGTCAGGAAACAATCAAAATCTGCGTAACTCTGAGCTTCTTTGAAACCCCCCAAAAAAACGAAAACAAAACCAAAGACACGAAACATAATCACACCCAGACATACAGGATAAAGCTATTTACAATACTAATAATTATGAGATATATGTACATGATTTGTACATTTTATATCACGCCCAAAGGACAGTGTAACTAAGTCTAAAGTATATTTGTAAACTATTTTCTGAGCACAGATTTTGTATAAATTTATTAGACACGCGCTTGTCCCCCGAGAGGCAGCCTTCAGCTCTTTTGCTTATACACAACTTAGGGCTTTTCCCCGTTTAACCCGACCATCCCATCCAACTTTTACCGAACTCTCTCCGCCAACCCGACCCGTCCCCAATTGGTTTTTTCACCCAGAAGGTCTCGCTTCTATTGTAAATTTTGTACTATATACAATGGTCTCTATAATGAAGGAACTTAAACTTAAACTTAAACCTATACACGCGGTTAGCTGTGTATATTATGAATAATGAAAGAATTGTTGAAACTGTAACTCTTAACTGTAAACTGTAGCAAGAACTTTTTATACCTTTCGCAAAGGAGGCAGTGGGCGTGGCTGAGGACAATTTTAGAGAAGAAAACTAAAGATAAAACCCATACTAAAAGATGCACAACAAAGATGAAAATCCAAGTCAAATTACAACTATTTTTAATATTTACACTTAACTCAAGCGATCTGCAAGAAAATTTCATGATTGTTAATTACAAATGAATGGAGTATTATGCAACCAAATATAAATATATAGATAAATGGATAAATAATTAATCGGTAATCAGTATTTAGTTTGTAAGAGAATCCTTTGGTTTGGAATAATTGCACAGCCTTTCAAAGTCTTAGTCTATACTTTTATTTCCATTTTTGAGTTTGGTTTTTCTTCAACTTCGTTAGTCTGCCATCGCCAAGACATCGACAGTGATCGGGAAGTTATGATCCCCAAGAGACAAACATCGAAGTAGAGTCAACGCTGTACGATTATAATTTCAAAAGCTCTATATGCTGTGTTCTTCTGAAACGCCTCCTTCACCCAGTATCTTCCAAAGGGCACTCGTTATTTTTAAACTCCTCACTCCTCAAACTGCTATCTTCCAGAATTTTTGTGCAGCAAAACCAGTAAAGAGAAAAATAGTTAAATGGCTAAACATAAATATAGGCAAGAGTTTGCTGTACTAACCAACCATAACTACTGTGTTGATATGTGTACCTATGATAATTTCCTATATCGAATAGACAAATTCAAACACACAAGCGGGCAAACAAGAATAAAACTAAATCAAATTAAATTATTCATGTTACAAGCACTAGAAACTAAAAACTAAATACATATGTGAAGCAAGCAGAGTAGGAAAAATATAAACCAAAGTGGAATTTCAATTGAAAGCGAAACTGTTAAAGAATGCGAAAATTGGCCAAACAAAGAGACCAAACGCATTTCCCAACCGCAACAAAACCAACAAGCAACTGATACTATTGAAAATCAAGGCCAAAACACGCATGAACCTATACTATAACTATATATATATACATATTTAAATGTGCAATTGTTGTGCTAGTTACAGAATATAAACGAATCCTACAAAGAGCCCTCCTACATATACAGATTGAAAATGCGAATACAGATACTTTTAATTGCCACATTTACAAGTGACCAGCAGATGAGATACAAAACGGCAACTATTTTCGATGACAAACGATACAAGTGTTTATTTCCCCATTCAGGGCAGACTTTTTACATGAAACAGCACACCCCCCAACAGAAACTAGGTATTTATAACTATTGTATTTTTTGTATGCCAAGACAGAACTACATAAAAAACACTCTACCGCCGAAACTTGATATGAATATTTTGAAGGAAACCAACAGAAAGATAAACAAAATATATAGTTTTTTAAATGTGAATGCATATAAATTGTACGTGTGTATTGCAAATACCAACGGGCCAGAATTCAGGTTCCTAAGCTCCCCTCCGTAAATATCTAAACAGATATCTAAATAGCAAACACCGCAAACTCTTAACTAACCCTAAGTACATAATTGTGTATCTGTGCAACTGCTAATATCAAATCAAAACAAATCGATACGAAAACGATAGGGAAAATAAGAATGAAAACGATGAAAAAACCCTTAACACATATTCAATGTAAATTCAACAAAATGCTGCAGAAAAACATTATCAAATTCAATCAATAAATGTCAATGAATAATTAACAAGGAACTGTCTTTTATTCAAAGTGCGATTCGTGGTACATTTGAAAGGGTTCGATTGAAGGTGGATAAAGGTAAAAATTGGATTACGATATTCTATTTCTTTTTTATCAGAGATTGACAAATATTATTATGTATATTATATGGTAAGTATATGTAACGCTTTAAATCCAGATCAGTGTCAAACTTGTTAAATATATCTTTATAAATATTTTATTTATTAATCTTTATTATATACTTAATTACCTAAATTCGTTATTACTCTTATGATACTCTTGATTTTCACACACTTTTTATCCTGTTTTTGGATCACAACAACGGGATACTGACTCTTTACCTACTCATATTAAAATTACTTTTTATTATACTTTTAAAAATGTTTTGATCCTGTTTTTTGGATCAAAATCACGGGATATTTGCTCACTATATTGTTTCGGAAAACCTTAAGTTTTCTGCTGGGGTCCAGGTAATAAGAAATGGGGTAAAATTAAATTTTCCCTAAAACTTTCTCCAACTGATAAGCTAGAATCAATCCCGACGACAGGCCAAACGTCAGCCGTATGAAAATAAATTGTCCTCTCGCTGTCAGGGTTGTGGCCGGGAAAATGTTTACGGAATTGATTTGAGGCATTATCTGGTGCACGTCAAAGGTCTGGAGTGAAAGTGTGGAAAAGCTTTTATCTAAATTAAATCCTGACACATGCGAGGCCGCCGTTTTCCCTGCCTTTTTTTGCTTTGTAAGCCATTTCCTGCACATGACGTACCAACGACTTGCTATTTAAAGACAGTGCCAAGGGTCATGTTAAAGCGATCCTATGAGACATGCAGACGTGTAGATGTGGCATTGTATTTAAGGCATATCCTAAACTTTTTCACGACACTCTGTTTGAAAAATCTGTGCAGTTTTATGCAACTTTTATGACACCAGCCGAGGACACAGAGCGCACACAGAAAACTTTTTACGACTTGCAGTGCCAAAGAACAAACATCAGACGTTCTCGAGCTGCGCCTGATGCGTCAAGTAAACAAAAAGTAACGTACTACCAGGAACTGAAACAAATTTCACAAAAAAAATCTCAAATATGTGCATGTAGAAAAAGTGCTGGCACAGGGAAACCTGAAATAGACAAAGCAAGTGTGCACAGGATCCTGTTCGTGTCAGAATCAAAGATATCAAACTTCCGAAAAGTTGATATCTACTGAGCTGAAAAAACAAAGAAATTAGTAAGTGTTTGACAGTCAGAAAAGTACAAAAATTAATAATTAATTTCCATTAAAATCCTTAGACAGTTTTGAAAAATATACATCCGCATTCCCTAATTACACTTTATTTAATATCAAATTATATCTGATTCTTTCGTGGCAAACACGAGATTCTCTGAAACGCAAACATGAAAATAATTATTTAAATTTTATGAGTAATTTCCTTTTCAGCTTGCCCAGTTTTGATTAAAGTTATGTCACTCTCCATCAAAAATTTGGATGCCAAATTATATTTCAACCTTTATGACTCGCCGAATAAACTAATACAAACTGCGTCCACGGAAGTTGTTCAAAAGTTGTTGAATAATTTTAGCAATATTTTTGTAAATATTCTATGGTGCGCAAAGCTACATATAATGCTGGCGTTTATATAAAAGTATGCATACGAGAACTAGCAGCAAAAATGTGGCATGCAATATTTATTTACATGAGTAAGCATTTTGAATAGCATCATCAATATGAAATGCAACGTTAAACGTTGAATGAAGGAGATTTTGGGAATTTGGGAAAAGTGACCCAGAGAGCCTGGGGTCTGGCCCCATTATCGATGCCACTCATCCTAATGACATGATGCAAATTAAGCCCCCAACTTATGCCCCCAACCCAACTGCAAGACCTGACCCCTAATGCTCCAGCCAGCAGTCAAAAGCATTGCACAGTCACGTGCGGCAGCTGGCCAAAAGTGGTGCCTGTCAGGCAATGAAGCCTAATGTAGTAAGCCTCCAATGCATCTCACCCCCGACCCCAGTAACGTCACCCCCTCCCACTCGACCTCCCACTGCACTGGAAGAATGTTGATCGATGCGATATTAACTGTAATATCCCAAGTTATAAGCAGGCTGTTATAATAAGTTCAGGAAAATCAAGGCACTAGACTAGGTAAAAAGGAATGGAGTTAAATTTACGCTTTGATTTTCCCAGCATTATATTTTAGTACACATATCGAAGGTTTTCTTTCTCTACTTTAAACTAAGCTTTAAAAAAATACCTTTGTTTTCCTTTTAACTTTGTAAAATATCTTTAAAATACGAACAATACTTTTTTTTTATTCAACAGTTTCTTACAATATGTACCTTAATTACATATCCCTTCTTTAAAACTTATCAAAAAAAAGAATGTAAAAGTTCAGATAATAACAAAGGCGCTTAAGTTTGTTAGGTACCTAATCTTTCTCTAAAAGTAGATTATTCACATTGTACAAATTGAAGAAAGAAATTTAGATATAATCTATTGTCATGTAAAACTTTGTAAAGGGAACTTGTAAAGAATAGAGATTATACGAACTATAAAGTCATAAAAAAAAGTCAGATGAAAACTCTTGTCATGTCAAACTTTGTACTTACCTATCAACCTGATAACGAGAAGTTTTCACCTCACATTATTTTTTTCCGTGTGGAAATGGAGTGCACGTGTTGCAGAAGTTTCGGTTAACGGTTATTAAATGCAGTTTTTGCAGTTTGACAACAAAATGCAGTCGCCAAAAGTGCAAAGTGCAGATGGCGGAGACCGGCACAGCCGCAAACCAGAGAGAAAAGTTGGGAAAGAGCTTCAGAGTCGTAAAGAGATTGTCTTGGCCAAGAGCGTAACCGGTTGGAGTCGTGTTTTAGACCAGTTTAGACCACTCACAGGTGCTGGAACATTGTAGCAACTGCCGAGCGATCAGTTCGAGCCGAGATCGCGACGCGTTCGCTTCGATAATTTCCCGTACCGCGGTGCATTTGCAATCCCCGAGATTGACAAACAATACAATAGCAAAAAAACAAAGTTGTACTCCAACAAAAATAAAAGATACAAACGCGCAGCAAATTCAACTATTTTTAGCGGATTACGTGAGTGTCATTTGAATTTTTTCGGCGTGAAGTCTACGCCCGATCTGCTGGCCAGAGAAAAAAAAACAGAACAGAGTGCTGGCCAAATTTGCTCACCATCTGTATCTGTGTCTAAGTCAGTGTGTGCTTGTGTGTGTGTGTGTTGGCCAGCTCCAAAACCTGCTGCTATTATTAGCCTTAGCCAAGATTATGGGCGATTTCATTATGGCGCTGCAATTTGCTGTGCCGCCGCAAAAAAACAAAAAAAAAAGCTAAAAGATAAATCGAGCTTAGGCCGAGAAGATTTGAGCTTAGTTAGACGAGTTCCGAAGTCTATTGGGAGTCTTGGCCATTGTGTTTGGGCCGATTCGAGCCAACTTGGGAGAAGCTGCAACGCCTTTCATTCATTCATTCATGGCTCCGATTATATCATACACCTCGCGATCTATTCCATGTACTAACGTGTTGGCTGGCATTTTGGCCAGAACCAGTAAAGGTTTTTGGCCCACACACACGCAGGCACAGATACAGTCACAAACACCAACGCATTTGCATATCTCCGATGGAGACGACGTCATCGCCTTTATTTATATTAATATTTTTTAATATTTCCCCACATCTCTTGCCATGTTTGTTTTTCGGCTTTCGGTGCAGCAGCCAAGTGAAGTGTAATGAAATGTGTACCGCAGCCAGAAACTAACAACCTGTCGCACTGGCTGGCAAAAAGCGTTAACAATAAATAAACGAAACAATACCAACGCCAGTTCAACAGTATAACAATGAGGAGAGAAGGTAAGCCAGTTTTTTTGTATTTTTATTTATTTTGTAGCCCACAGCCGTGCCGTGGAATACATTCCCATATATATGGAGAGATATAGAGGAAGTTGTGTGGATGCATAGACGGGTCTACAGAGGGAAAAACTGAAGGTTGCAAATATTCTGTCTACATTTTGGGAAAATGTCATCTAAATAGGTTTCAAAAATCAGGAAATTTGGTTTAAAGCAAATTAAAAGTAGAGTTTAAAAATTGTCTTTAAATTAAAAATGATCCCTGCGCCAAATATCATTGGGCCACTTGCTTCTACTTCCCATAGTGCATAAACATTAAGTAATATAAATGAAATACATACTTTAAGAAGCACTTTATCTTTAATGAATGAACCTTATTGCCCTTTCCATTTTTGCAGTGCACGCTCAACTCGTTTATTTGCCATCAATTTGTTTTTTGGCTCAGTGGAATTGCATTTTGAGCATCTTAAGGTTGTCTTCCACCTTCGGTTTCGATTTCCGCAACACAGTGAACCGTGAACTGTTTGCGGGGGCGGTTCTTTGGTGGTTCGACGATTCGGTGATTCCATCGATTACGCACCGGTTGACCCTGAAAATGTCAGCCAAACGGCGGCTAAAGACTGGCCTTATATGAGCATGATTCGCTCTTTTGTGGCCAGCACACACAGTTTGTTCGCCTTTCGATGGCCGGAATGGAGTGGAGTGCTTATGTCATTTGTCAACAGACCAAAAAGACCAAGTAGTACGTACCCAGTAAGGAACCCGGGTGAAAATTCGAGTGAAAAGGCACTTTGGTCATTTGGCAGAAAACTGCAATCTGTGGAATTGCCTTTAGGCGACACCAGGACCAGTACAAATGCCAATACCAAATGGATCAATGAGTGAAATTTAATGGCTTTATGTGCATTTAATTTATTGCTTTCTCTTTTTCCCCGAATGACAATCGTGATGGCAAAAGGCAAAAATACAGGGAAATGCCTTGACATAAGCCCTTACCTAACGATACCATCCATATCGCAGACGTCAGCACAATGAAAAGCGTATTCAAATGGCTGGGGGTTTATCTTAAGCAAATCTGCAGCTCCCATAGTTATGCTTTTTTTTTTTTTTCCTCCCCATGCAACCCACTGTGCATA